CATAATTGAAATGCTCACAAGCAGATAGTGGCTGCTGAAAATTTGTTGCGCGCCAAACAAGCATAAAATGACGCACGCAAACATATAGACACGACGATATATAAAAGTGGGATTACACTTCCTGTAAGAAAAACCGTCTTGCGCGCGGAGTCACGGTCAGTTTTTATGAGGTCACGTTGCTGTTTAACCGCCCAACAACAATAATGGCATACTTTAAGGAGCAACAAAGTACCAAAACTGCTCATTGTAGGAGGAAAAACATACATTTGTATATAAACAGTTAAACATCCTTTGCCCTTAATTGGCCGCACTGAAATTATGTGGGTTTTTGGCCACAAGTACACTGCTGTGTTGCCACATATACATACATTTAGGCGAGTGAGCACACACTCGCCATTTAAGCCACTTGATACTCCCTAATTGTTTCTTTTGCGCTTGCTTGCGTGTCTTGCGGCCGTCGCAAAAAAATGCAACAAGCGAAAGAGTTTTTATGTACATTTATATGTATGAATGTATGAATATCCCCCCCNTTTTTCTGCCTGCCTTTTGCTCACATTAAGTGGCCGTCTGCTCATAATGTAGAAATGGTTTATTGCTTGCGTGCGCTATTCATATTCGCTAACCGTCCAAAGAGTCAACCGAACAAAAACGCAAGCACAACAAACGAAAATTGGCACAAAAACATTGCAACAGCTGGGTCGCAAGTGCATTGGTGATGGCCCATTTTCAATGACTGTTTGGAGTCATTAAGTAAAACGCGCGCAGTGTACAAATTTCTTAGGTTTAGTTTAAGGCAAAGCTTGTGAGCAAAGGAAGTGAACAAAGTGCTTTAATGACTGATTCTTTAGAGAAGGCTTCAAGTATGTAAACAAAAATAGGCAAACAAAAGTACGAGTATTTATTTTCATTTTTTTTAACACAGCAAATTTGCAACCTCCCTCTTATTTATCAGCTCGTCAGCACTAAAAGCAATATTTCGTTTGATTACTACTTTCAGATACGCTGCACTGCACACATTCATGACGTCTATTGGAAATCTACGGAAAAATCTATCGAGGAGGAGCGCCACAAGCACAACATAAATTCGGTTAATTCTTTCTCAGAAGACTACTTTGATTTGGAGGACGAACATCTGGTTGATCGTTCAGACACCTATATGACACATATAAAGGGTAAGAATGCAACCTAATATAAAGATTTACATAAATCAAGTCATCGGATTTACCTCCAATTAATACAAATATTTTTTTTCTTCATGCTTATATACACTCAATAAAAAACTACTGCTATACCTGTTTTTGTATTAATAGCGATGAATCTGTACGATCCACAAGCAGTTATGTTTCAGGATCTGATTTTTGGGTTAGCTCATTTTAGGTCTAGGTGTGCGATATGTATGTTCATTAGGGTGCCTCACCAAAAAAAGTTGCAGTTTTTTTTTTTTATTTTAGACGTGCGCCAAAATAATCAATAAAATATTAAGATTTAAGCTAATACCTTCAAAATCTCATTACTTTGATTACGTTAATACAATTTTTAAACGTTTTATGCAGACCTTTAAGCTTAAAATTATCTATCTGAAGTGATTTTTTTGGCAGAAAATATTTTTTAAAACTGCATAATTTTATTTATAACTCGATTTTCAAATCAGTCTAGCTTAAGTAAATCTTAATGTTTTTTCGAAATATTTTTGGGGAAGTCTTAAAATACAACTTATTTTGTAATTCCGATGGGAAAACAGTATCTACCGATTTNTTTTTTTTTTTTAATGAAGAGTGATGCACCCTAATTTATATACTTTGTATGGAAGATAATGTGCGACTCCGTCAGGAAAAGTATGTATAATAAATCAACGAGATTTTCTAGCAACATCAAAATATAAATTTTATACCCGTACATGCAAAAATTTAATAAAATAAAAAACTTCGCAATAAAAAATTTTCTAAAAAATGTGATAAGAAAATGTTGATAAACGTTTATTTAATATTCCTGAGCTTTGCACAAAGTTCAAAACATTTGTTTACATTATTTTTTTTTTTGTTTTTTGTAAATTTTAAGAAAATGATATGAAAATAAAACGTGTACCTACACTTTTGTGATTGCCTAGTTCCTTATACAATACTTGAAATGTTTACGTTTCGGTAAATTTTATTAAAATTTGTATGAACGGAATTAGTGAAATTAACAGAATTTAGTATTTTCTCAAACTTGTGCTAACAGAAACTTTGATAAGCAGTTTAAAATACATGAAGTTAGAGATAGAATTTCAAATGTTTAAGGACAACAGGTGCCTATGAGAATATGGCAACAGTAAATAGGCATGCGCATGTACATATGTATATGTACATTAGGGTGGTCCTTAAAAATCAAATGAACAATTTTTTTCAGTCTCATCCCCCCAATTGGTAATACCATAGTCGAAGATATCACATATAATTTTTGGCCCCAATTGGGGTCGGTTAAGGCGTATCGCAAAGGGGTCAAAGGCCAGATGCCTCTTTGGAGACTCAAAAAATTAAAAATATTTTTTTCATATAATAACCAAAATGGATGCTACTAAAGCGACTCCAATCGGGACGAAAATTTATAGTTGATATCTTCGGCTATGATAGTATCGATTTTGGGTATTAAATGAAAAAAATAATAATTTCAATTTTTTTAGTCTCCATAGAGGAATCTGAACTTTGCCCCCTGTACGACACGCCTTAACCATCTACAATCGGGACCAAAATGTAGGGGTTGAGGCTTAGGAAATCTGATGTAAAAATTAGCTTCCTACATTTAGGGACCACCCTAATGTACATACATGAACACATGCATACATACATATGTATGTAGGTCGGTACACACTCGCGCAGAAAATGAATACTCGAAACATCGCCAAGGTGGTAGGATATTTTAATTTTAGATACTACTATTTTTACATGGAATGAAAACGGAATCCCGACATACATATTTAGCATTTGAATGAGATATTAAAAGAAAAAAGAAAAGCAAGTTCGCGAAAATGTTGTATGTTCATAAATCCATACATACTTACAAAACCAGCTCTCGTACTCATAAATAATGAATAGATTTTTCATAGAGGAAGCAGTTAAAATTATTAAGGATACATTTTTCGTATTCAAGAAGTCGGCAGCCATGTGAACAACAGTATTAACATACCTAGAGAAGGGGGTTAGAGCAAGGCAGCCGAATAGCGAGACAAAATATGTAGAACAGGTGCGCTGAAAACATTTTCAAGCGAATATATGGATATATCTACATACATACCCTTATACATATGTATGTACGTATGAGCACATATGCATTTTTGTATGCATAGGTGCTTCATAACAACCCACAGCACACATCCTGGAGAATCTGCATCGCTGAAATATTTTAAGTGAATAAAATTAATGCACAGTTGCTCACACATCTAAACTATTTAAAGCTTTTTAGTACCTTAGGAATGTGCATAAATATTTAAGCAGATACAAGCGAGCATTTATTTTTTGTACTCGTATAGATATTTATGTATGTATATATGTAGGTGCATGTGTTTGTATGTGTGGGAGTGTGAGGTGAATATTTTTATTAAATTTCATGCAAATCTTAAAGACTGAAAATAAAATTAATTAATTTTTATATTTTCAAACCAAAAAAGATATAGTGAAAAGAATTGCGTCACGGCTTTTCCAAAAGTGATATTAGAAAGTTCTTACTTTGCAAGATATGATTTTCGAATGACTAAGAATTTAAAGTTTTAGTACTAAAAGCGAAAAAACGCGCTAGTTTTGATTTTTTTAGGCGATTTTATGTATTTTAGTCTTAAAAAAATAAAATGTGTTACCTTCATTATTATTTTTCTTTTTATTAAATGGCGCTTTAATCAACAAAGCACGCCAGTCGTTTCTCTTATTTTCCAATTGAAAACTCGCAGTGAAGCCAAGTTCTTCTCCATCTGGTATTTTCATAGCAGAGCTTTCTCTGTTATCAGTATGACTGACGACCCGCGTTGTATACTTTCATAGCAGGATTGTTTCGGTTCATTCGTACTCCAACCCAGTCGCCGTGCTTCAATCCGCCTCACTATGTCTATATCGTTGTAAAACTCATATAGCGCATCGTTCCTTTGTCTGTGGTATTCGCCATCTCCAGCGCGCAAAGGCCTTCCGCAAAATGTTTCCATCGAAAACTTCAGGAGCCGCTTCATCAGATAAAACTACCAGAATGAGAACATCGCGGTCTTGACTGACAGCCCAGCGGCTATCAAGGCCCCCAGACTCATCAGGTAACTCTAAACTGATTACGGAGTGCCTCGGCAATACTCTTGGTCTGAGCAATCGTGTTTGGGTTCTCTGCGAAGAAAGGAGCATAGACACCTTTCATCACCCGAGAGCCCTTTCGTGGCTTAGGAAAAGGGGAGCCAAAGACATCTGGGTGAACATTTAATAACCGAGAGCGAAGTGAAATCTTTAGATTTAGGTTCCGTAGTAAAGTTTTTCTCGGATACCGGGTTAATATACACACCATAAATCCGTGAAGGGGGCACAGTAGATACTTAGATTTATCCTCCGAACAATATAATAATAATTATCCTTAGCATAGATATAGTTTTATATGTACTTAATTAGAAATATGATTTCCCGCAAAAAAAAAAATAAATAAAAATAAAATATTTTTAATAAATGGGAAGTTATGTTCTTTTTGCAGATTCTCACAAGTGTCTCTTGTCTCTAGCGTTGTCTGACAAGTCCTTTGCGTGTATATCCCTATTAAATATGAAGCTCTTTTGTTGTATTCTTCACTGAAATACCAATTAAATTGCACTCATCTTTGTTTACTGCATGCAATCACTTTGCACTTGCTCACATACATACATACATACATACATATGTACATACATACATGCATATCTGCTCAACTTCCACTTGTTATGCTCTCATTGCAGGTGCTGTCTCATCCTTGAATTCCAATGGAGCTGCACAACAGCACAACTGTCACTGCCTGTCATTGATGATGCGTTGGACAACACTGGTGCTGGCGGCTTGGTATGCTCAGCAATACCTCCAACAATTATGCCAGAAATTGTTTGTTTGGCGAAAAACAATGACGCCAACGGCAATAAAAATGCAAACAAAAGGAACGACAATGGAAGGACAGCAAGAAAGGGCTATAGTTGTTGCAGCCAAAGGCCAACGAGTAAGTGGACCAAGTGCTGATGAGGCAACTTCAAATGTGACAGTAATGAGAGTAACAGCAGCAACAACAACAATTGCAAAAAATACTATTTGCCACGATTGGACAGTCGCCGCCGAACAAACAAAACATCGGACGCGAAATGAAACGACGAATTCACAATTAATAGAGAGGATAAATATGCAGCGACAACAACAGCAACAGCGGCAATGGCAGCAGCTGCAGCAACGACCAAACAGAGTTAAGTGCGAAAAAAGACGAGCAACACAAAAACAAACACTTCCAGTGCAACTACAAAAGCACTTGGGGCGTAAGGCGGCAACACTGGCAACAATACGACACACAATTAAAGCGAAAGCAACAACAGCAACAGCAAATGCGAAAATGAAGCAAGTAAATGCATCGACGACAACAACATGATTTAATTGCCGTTAGTTTACTGTGAATTCAAAAAATAAAATAAAATAAAAATGAAAATTATACAAAAAAAAAAAAAAAAATATTGCAAAAAAGGCAAAGGCATAGTGAAGCGGGAAATGAGGCAAGGCCAGCAAAACTTCCGAAGAAAAATCGTTGTACTCTCTTTGGCGTTACTAATGGATTACTCCGGCATAGGTATATTTAAGTATGTAGACCAGCTCCTATTTAATAAACGAACCTAAAACTAAATTTGTCTGTTTTCAATTCTCTTTGAATCCCCGCAAAAGTTTTAGTCTCGTTTTAGTTAAAAACTCGTTAAACTCTCGGCATTGTTTTTTTTTTGTTTGAGTTGTATTTTATGTTGTTTATAAATAGCAATGTAAAGTTGTCAAATTGTAACGAATTTTTCTCACAGCTCTTTTCATGGAGCACATATTTATGTAAGGAACTCTTACAAAGCAACTAGAAAATAAATCAATTCCACAGCATTTTTTTGTGTATATACGTAAATATAAACGTATGTACATATATGTATATAATCTACAAAACATATATGTATGATAAAATAAAAGCAAGAAAAAACAGAATGCACAAAATCCTATCCACTAAATATAATCAATTACATATTTGTTTATTTATATACATACATACATACTTTTTATATAAACATATATGTATGTATATTAACCCAATTTAACACTTATAGAAAAAGTCCCACATAAAAAACAACAACAATCGACAAACAATTTAATTCGTTTTGCAAATCCAATCAAAATTGCAATTATAAACGCTTAATTTAAGTACTTAAGTACTTATGTACTTAAAGGTTTGTATTATGAACACACGTATATATATACATTTGTACATGCAGCTCTCAACCATCCGCCATAACTAGTGACACAATCAACTATGTGCGATATTTAACAGTTGATTAAAACTTAATTTTGCCCAAATAAATATTTACTATAAATGTTTAATTAAGCATGTACAGTGGTTGAAAAAATTATAGCCGCACAACATTTCGACAAGTTTCAAAATATTGTTTTTTTTTTTATTTAATTAATTTTAATTTAATTTTTTTTTTAATATAATAATTCATTCTTTGACAAACCCCGAGTAAATCCAAGTTTCAAACTTTGTGCAATGTTAGAAAAAAATCAACATACTTTCGTAAATGTGTCGAGCTTTTTTTTATTAAATTTCCTAAAAATATTCTGAGTACGCAGTTTTGCAGCCCATTGAATTTTAGTAGCATAAACTACAAGTTTCAAATAGCTAAAAATTACTGCTGATATTTTTAGAATTTTTTTTTGTTGAAGATGTTATGGTTTTCTTCCCTATAAAAATAAATCGTGTCTATTCGTTATGATTACAGCATAAAGTGGGGTCTTAAAGTCAATATAGCAAAATCCAAAATTTTGATATTTAGGAGGGGTAACAGAGTTGCTTCTTGGTATAGCTGGAACTTTGGTAATGAGCCCATTGAGATTGTGATCGAATGCAAATACCTTGGTATCACTCTGAGCTATAAACTCACTCATTCCATCAACGCTACTTGTCTAAAATGCATTAATAATCCAAATTTCTGTATATC